TATGCAAAATATGAGGACCGGCAAAACTGCTCAAATTCGTGTTCCTGTGATCTTGAAGAATGGGAAAGTACATCTTGCCGGCAGCTGGAGTGGTCCCTAACTCTCCTGCCATTTCCCAATGCAAAGTTATATGGAAAATATCACAATTTCAAGTCATTTTACAATAATTCCTATTGATTGTGCCTAAGGCTTTCTTTTCAAGCACTCAACATATTTCTACCACTTGTTGGATATCTTTGCAATTATGCTCCAAAATATACACAAGTAAAAGAAGATTGCGAGATGTACAGGGTCATCCAACGACGACTGAACAGGAGCTTATTTTTGACCTTCCCTGTTCCTATAGTTTTGAAAAAAATCAAAATAGCCAATTGGACAGCTAAAACAGTTAGAAATGCTCTGCACATATGTTTTTTCAAAAAAAGAACTAACTGCTGATGAACTGCGATATAAGCTGATTTCCCAAAACATAGGTTTCGGCTTCAATTTGATGAGAATAATATGTACGTTAGATGCTTTGCATTTGCATTTGCTAAGGGCTATAGTACAAACATATATTTGGCAAAATGCACATCAAACTCAATTAGGACCCATCGATTATTCTTCATTGGGCTATGAAGAAAGCAATGGTAACTTACGTCCACGACAAATGACAATGTTGCCTTTGCCAGAATCATTGATTCAGCCTTGTAAATGTACATCCAATTGTCGAACAATATCGTGCAGTTGTAAAAAGACAAAATCACCGTGTATTTTATTGTGTAAATGCTTAAACAATGACTAATGCCTAAATAAAAATTAATAATTATTTATCTCGCTTTCATCTATTTCTATTTGTATTTGCTGTTTCTTTTTGTAAAATTTTTAAAATAAATCTTTTTTAATATCATTTTGTGGTTTTTTGGTTGGTAATTTTGAACCCACGACTCCTGGGATTCCGTATAGTTTGATTTTCCACAAACTTTCAAATAATAATTATAATAATAATAAACGCACCGCTGTAGCCATGTCACCATACCTCTTGAGCAATGGACGGAAACCCAGGGTCGTGAGTTCAAATCCCACTAGTAGCAAATTTTAACGAACTTTTCTATTTAAAACCCTGTCGTCTTTTTCACCACAAGAGCAAACTGAATTGGAACTATATTAGTCGTTAAAATCACACACATAGCATACACTCCATGGAATTCCTTTATAAGTGAGACGAGAGGGGATAGAAAAAAAAATGGACCAAAAAATGAGCCGGCAAGATCCGGATTATTAATCTTTGAGCTTTTCTCAGCAACAATCCATTGATAAAATGCGGTCCTCATATTATGCATACTCAAGTCCATCTAACTCCCGGTCTATAGTGGAAATTTCATCTCCATATGTTGAACCATTTTCGTACAGGGTCCGATCAAAAACTAAAACATTAATTTTCGAAATACGCGTTTTTTTTTGTTCTGGCCTACTTAGTTTTCAGGTAAGATACAAACAAATAGCATACAAATAAATAGCAATTATGACATATTTTTGTGCGGCTCTATTTCAAAAAATATCAATTTTTGACATGGGGTATATCAGACAAAAGTTATTTAGAATTGTTCAAAGAGTCCAAAAAAAAAGATAATATACAGGGTGCCCCATTTGAAATAACAGAGTCAAGGCTATTTCCGGTGAAACCGGAAAAGACATTCAATTGTTTTTATATTAAAATTGTTCACAATTTTCAACCCTATCAACAAACCGAGTTGCATATTTCTATCTCGGGCTGTTAAGAAAGTGTAGTAGTTTCATTGTCACCCGGTATACTCATGAATAATGGTTCCAATTTATCATTTAGGAAAGTCATCATAAAGAGGTATGAAATGGAAACATAGAAATTAGGTAAACAATATTACATGGTATGAAATTTGAATTTGGATTCTAGGTTTCCAATATGATTTTTATTGAGAAAATAGTGCTTATGGAAGCCGATGCGCTCTGAACATTAACTTCCCAATGAAAAACTTGAATCTAAACATATTTTGCAGACACCTAATGTCTTTTGAAACATAAAGACTAAAGACATTACTTTTGAATAATCGTTCAATACTCACGTTAAAACAACTCAAATAATTCCTTTTTTTCAATCATCAACCCAGTGGTTCAAAACTTGCTAGTGGTACTTTATATTCAGCATGTTCATTCAGTAGATGATTATAAGTACATGTTTCAACATTAAGTCCCAATTTAAATTTGATGTGACACAAAAATTTGTGCTGCACTCTTTAGTGTCTATCTCTATGACACTGATACTCGCACTGATAGTATGGTAATAATACACAAATATTATTCTCCATTTGAGGTGTATATTATTATTTTTACACCATTTCTCAAAACGTTGAAGGTCTTTCTGCAGAAGTACTGATGCATCTGGTGAGTCAATCACCTTAAATAACTTTAAATCATCTGCCTACAATAAAACATTACTATGATGGAAACAGTCTAGAGATGGCAAATTCTCGAGAATTTATTTTGAGAGAATTTTCTCGGAGAATATTCGGGAACATTGGAGAATTTTGGAGAATTTTAGGGAATTTCAAAGAATATAGCTTCTTAACATCATTTGTTGTCCCTATTTTGTCTGAAATATTTTCATATCAACCCTCTAGGTTTAATTTTCGGAGTAATTTCCTCAAAACTAATATTAAATTAAATATTTCTTTACACACACTTTGCACATTACGGAGATATGTAATAACTTATGGCGTTTCCGGTTGGTAGAAATCGTGCAAAAAAAATAAGTTTGTGTTTCTATCTGTTTCTTTAAAAGGCTGAGAGAAAGAGCTGGAAATACACTTAGTACTCAGTGGCACAAAAATTTTTTGATATGTCAGAATAGAGGGTTTTTCGGATATCGAACCTCCGAAAACGGATGACGGATGCATGAGACTCCGGCTTTGCTTTTCGTTTTTCACAATGAACTGATAAATTCAAGAATTACAGTTAACTTCCCATTTACCGTATAATCTCATAAATTCTTGAACCTAAAAAAATCATAAATTCTCGAGAATTTAAGGCCAAAGAATATTCTCAGAAAATTCTCTGTTTTCAATAGAAGTTCTTTGGAGAATATTCTCAGGGCCATCTCTAAAACAGTCAATAATATCATTTATGTAAATATTAAAAAGTAATGGAGCAAGATGACTCCCTTGTTGAACTCCAGATGTAACATTATAATCATCAGATGAAGATGTTCCAATTTTTACCCTTTGCTTACGACCTATCAAATATGATTCAAGCCATTTCAACAATATACCATTCACACCATAACCAGAAACCTTCTGCAACAAAATACCAAAATCGACTCTGTCAAAAGCCTTTTCAAAATCTGTATAAATGGAGTCAATTGCAAATCCATTCTCAAGCGCTTTAGAAATTACTTGTTCGTATTATAGTAAATTTGCTGTAATTGATCTGCCCTTGGTGCGATGTATTCCCAATAATTCCTACAATTCGTTAGTATTTTCAACAATTTCTTGACAATTCCCATTCTCACAATTCCTTAATAATTCAAAAAAATTCCTTCATATTTCCCAATAATTCCTAGTAATTCCCTGATTTTGTACACCATAATTTTCAGAGGTTTACTTCTTGGTAGAGCTTTATTAGCTCATCAAATTCTCTATAAAATCATCAAATTTTAACTCTAGACAGAAGAGTGTATGATGAAAGTTGGATAGTGATGTAAAATTCCCGAAACATTCAAAAGCCGCGAACATTCTCTGAAACTTTCCGGGAATATTGGTAACTTTCGGGAACTTATGAAAATATTGTTTTTTTTCTGTAGCGGGAAAAAAGTAGACTTTTTGTACCTGTTGACAGGGGCAAAAATGTCACTTTTTCTACCATGAGAAAAAAGTAACAGGTACCAGTCAATTTTTTTTCCCGAGGGAAAAAAGTAACAGGTACCAGTCAAATTTTTTTCTCAAAGAAAATAATGTATAGATGGAAAATGCTAAGATTTTCCCGTCACAGAAAAAAATAGTGTATTATACATGGGAAAAAAGTAAGATTTTAGCGTTCGCAAACCACACGTCGAGCTAAAATCTAGTACTTTTTTCCCTTGTATAATAAATAACTATTTTTTTAAATTTTAAGCTAAATCAGACAAATCGTAGTAAGCTTTATTTACCTATTATTGTAGTGTACTGACTAGACTATAAACCAAAAAAAACGCCTTTCTGTAACATCAGCTAAAAATTAAACTATGTAGTAAAAACACTTTTATGGACGGTTGAATAAGGCTTTTAAGGAAAAGCTAATCCGATTAACCCAATCTCTCAACTCTTCATTTTTTATCTTTCTTGAATGAATATTATTAAAAAAAAAAAGACAAACTGTAGGTACATCAGCTGGTGATCGGGTAAATCCACATAAATTGAAATTACGTCACTGAGACCTTGTATTCGCAATAATCTCGCATTTTTATAAAATTCTTCTGGAAACTTCTTGGAAATATTCTAGAAAGTTCTCGGAAATATTCTTTTAAGAATTTTAGTTTGAAAGTTTCTGGGAATATTCTCATTCAGGAGAACGTTTCCATTTTTTACCTGTGAATATTTTCGGAAATTTCTCATTGTTCGCGAATATTTGCATGGGAATATTCTCGACTCACATCACTAAAGTTGGAAAGTTTCAAAAATTTTCAGGTTTCAAAAAAAATCTTAAAATTCAGATAAGATGCCTCTAATCTTTCAAGGATACTCCGTGAAGGAACAATATTTTGGGATTTGTAGACGGACTTATTTTTTATTTTAAAGCCCTTTTTAAGGGGAGTAAATAGCTCTTACGACTTACACTCAGTGTACAGGGTTCTTTGATTATATTTAGGCCCATACCTTAAATAGTAAAGGCTGTAGGTATTAGTTTAAATATAATCTAAGTCCCTGTCTGTACATATTTTTCACAATCTTCTTAACCTAATCACAACAACAAAATACAAATTCATAATAACCAATAATATTTATTTAAAGGTAACAAAATGATGGCGTACGCTGATGAAGACCCAATAGACGAAGAAGAAGCTGACGTTGAAGGCGAAACTGAAGAAGGCGACCTCACGGCAACAGAAAACGAAGAAGATGAAGATGGGCCGCAATCGAAAGCCTCTCCAGATGCCGATACCGTCTTATTATTTACTAAACCCAATTTCCAAGGAGCTTCTCAATTGGAACTCGTTGCTGGCAACCCTGTTGAATTTCTAGTGGGATTTCGTAACAAGGGACCACTAGATTTTGTTGTTGACACCATTGATGCCTCATTCAGATATCCCATGGACTTTAACTTTTTTATTCAAGTAAATAAATAATTTACTATATTATTATGTATAATTATTAATATTATTTTAGAACTTTTCTGCTATTGGCTACAATAAAATAATCAAACCAAGCCATGAAGCCACTTTCCACTACAGCTTTTTGCCATCTGAAGCTTTTGCTGGAAGACCTTTCGGCCTAAACATCAACTTGGTCTACCACGATGCCTCTGGCAACAGTTTCCAAGAGGCCGTTTTCAATGAAACTGTTCAAATAATTGAAATTGATGAAGGATTCGACGGTGAAACCTTTTTCCTTTACGTTTTCCTTGCAGCAGGAGTTGTTTTGTTGTTGGTGATTGGTCAACAAACTCTGCTTTCTGTTGGCAAAAAGAGGCCTGCTGCCAAAAAAGCTGCACCTGTTGAAACCGGTACAAACAACCCTAACAATGTTGATTATGATTGGTTGCCTGCGCAAACCTTAGCTAGTTTAAGTAAGTGAAATTGTATATAATTTTTATTTGTTTATAAAATAATTTATTGTAGATAAAGACAAGTCACCTAAATCTCCTAAGGGTGGTAAACCACAAAGTCCAAGGCAGCGCAAGGCGAAACGCTCCACTGGAAGCGAGTAGATAATCAAAAAAGCGACTGAACAATAATAATCAAATAAATACAATGACATTTATTTTTCACTGTTTTGTACATTTTGAAGAGCATCCATCATTATCTATTTAATTAAAATGCATTGTCTCAAGGAATGTGTTTTAAGAAAACACTTATTTATGTAGTAATAATTAGGTTTGTTTAATTTAAAATAGAGTTGTGATTATTTTTTTTTTACATTTTGTTGTTAACTAATTTCACAAGGAAGAATGTAAATATCTAATAATTTACCACAGTGGTAAGTTTAATAATAAAGTAATTTTTTAAATAATGTTTGGTTTTTTTAAAGCTATATATGTCGCAGGCTTATTGTAAAATCAGTCTTATTATAATACGCCTAGGCTTTTTCAATAAGACTAGACATATCGTAATACTACCCAAATACATAAGAATTTTACAATTAGACTAGTAATTTCAGTCGTATTATAATACGCCTGTTGCGTGTTAGTCTTATATTGTTTAAATGAGCCTGCATTAGAATCTGACTAGATGAAATCGGTCGTATTATAATGCGACTGACAGTGTGGCAGTCGAATAATATTAATTATTATTGTTGATTAGTTTTATTTCTGTGTAATATTTGTGCCTGAACTGTAGTGAGTATCACGAATGGAGATTATGAAATTGGTAGGTACTATACACGACTTAATCGATGGTTTTCAAGGGATTAAATCACTGACTGCAAAAGTAGGTAATGAAATAATTGATAATCCAGAAAGAGAAACAAAGATACATGTTGCGCTGAAGGGTAGCTTTCCTATTAATTATGCTACAGAGACGAAATTTGGAAAAAATACTTTAAACTTTGGTGATTAAGATGTCTCTTTGGCATAAAGAATAAGAAAGTTAGCGTTCAGCACAATATATCGGCCAAAAGGCACATTGAAAGTTTTATTCAATACAATTCGCCTGGTGCATTATCAGTCGTATTATAATACGACGGATTTCATCTAGTTGGATTCTAATGCAGGTTCATTTTAACAATAAGACTAACACGCAGCAGGCGTATTATAATAAGACTAAAATTACCAGTCTAATTGTGAAATTCTTAGGTATTTGGGTAGTATTACGATATGCCTAGTCGTATTGAAAAAACCTAGGCGTATATAATAAGACTGATTTTACATAAAGCCTGCGACATATACATATACAATGTGTCCAAGATAAGGAGGGCAAGTATAGGGATCTCGGAAACAGTGGAAGATACGACGCTGCTCAAATTAGGAAAAAGTTGTGCAATTTTGTGCTCATTGAAATACCACTATGATATTTTGAAAATTCAGAGTGATACCGGAGATATCCGGGAAAACCCAAAATTCGCCCAAAATTATTTTATTTTTTTCTGACCTTATTTGAAGGGATATTTTAAAATAAATGGTACTTTATCATTGTTACTTTTCCTCCTCTACAATATGGCATTATCAAATTTGTAATCCGACATTTCGTTTTTGGGCATCAGATCCCCATACTGACCTTCCTTATCTTGGACACATTGTATAAAGAAAAATCGAGAGTGGTCAAGTCTATGCGATGCTAATTTCCTTCTTAGGTGGACAACCCAACCACTTGACCAAGGCTGATTTAAATAATGCTTGAGAAATTGTTTAAAGCATCACAAAGTAGCAACAACAATGATGCTTATAAATAAAATAATAATGACCACCCAGTATCCGCAAGTATTGTCTTTCCTGTCTACCACACCCACCCTATCAGTTTCCACTCGAACTCTTTGATCAGTGTTATCAATTTGAGTACCAATATCATCAAGAATTTCTGGAAAATTGTTTAATATTTCAATTCAACTATTATTAAGTAGCATTGGACTTACCATTATGATAATCTACTTCGTTTGATATAGTGCTGGCAATGTTCTTTTGCCTCGATATGATTTTCGAAAGGCTTTCCAAACCTTTCTCTTGTTCTACAATCAATCAATTATTAATAAATAAAGATTAAAATTCATTGGACATACCACCAAGCATTTGCTTTTGTCTAGCCCTCATATCATCGAAAGACAGGTTTGAAGGCCCTCCACTTGCCTCATCCCAATCAGCACCCAAAAGTTCCGTTCTTTCTTCCATTCTTTTCATAGACAATTGCTCTTCGAATAATTTTTGCATTTGGGTCGCCTTTGTCATTAGCACTTCAATTTGTCTGGTGCGTCTTTCTGATTCAGCTGCCGTACTAATTGGATATTTAATCTTAATGAATATTTTGATTTAATGCCAAATGTCTGAGTCAGATTCACAATCTTCTAGATCTGGATCTAAATTTATCTACTGAAGAACTTTGATAGATTTTGAGGAAATTTGAATTTTGTATAGGAGCCCAGACCTTACTAATCTTATGGTGAAATTTGTATTAAGTATTTCAAATCACTTTTTAGTTGCATTTGAAGCTTCAAAAGTCTTGAGACTAAGAATTTCTACATTGAGGGGTTTTTCACTTAACAAAATTTGTACACCGATTAACAGTACTAACTGAGATATTTCCATGTATTAACATATATTTCTATGTACCTAATAACAAGTTATTGTCAACTATTTCCATCTATTAACAAAATATTTTCACATATTGCCAGGTATTTCCCTAGTATTATCACATATTACCAGGTATTGCCATGCTATTGACAGACTAAAATCAAATATTTGTCCTGCCCGAATTCTAGGTATTGACATATCCATATGTAGATATCTACAAGTATTGACATATATTACCTACATAATTAACAAGTAGGTATTGTATAGTAATGATACTATTGACATAGTATTTACCGATTAACAAGGTGAAAAACCCCTCGTAATAAACCCTATAAAATAATAATTATTACATTGCAGTAGATGTAGATGAAGTGTCCAACTTGAGTCTCAACTGCTGTAGTTCATTGTTGAACTGTTTCAGCCTCAATCTGATGTCAGCAGATATTTGGGCGTACTTTTGACTGGTTCTCGGGTGTCTTTGTCTCTCGGTGAGCTGGCTCATGATTTCCCTTTGGAGCTTCTCGCAGGATTCGTGCTCTAAAATCCTGAAAGAAATTTTGAATTGTTATGGGGCTTAAAATAGTTGATATGCGATAGTTTACCATGGATCTTCTTCTAATAGTAATAAGGCCATTGTTGATAGTTGTTCTTTGGAAATAATGTAGTAGGCTCAAACTTAAATCTGGAAAAATCAAATATTAATTTATTTTTCCACAAATGAACAAAATAAGTAAATAATTGGAATATGTATCAAAATATTAGAAAAAGTAAGGTTATTGTCGACTGACGACTGTATTATTAGGTTTGTTTCTGCAGAAATCATAAACCAGTCAGAGTGAATTTCATTGGTTGAAACTAGTTTCCTGGCTGTTTTTAAGCAATGAAATTCGCTCTGACTGGTTTGTGATTTCTGCAGAAACAGACCTTACATCTCATTTGATTCCCAAATTTCAAACCTTCTTCTATCCACTTGCAAAATTTCAATCCGATCCCACAAAGGTTTTCCACAAAGAAAAAATAAAACATTCTTCAATGTGGTTTTTGCGAAACTTCGTTTTTTCCAAAATGATATTGACATACATTTTGCCTTACAACTTTGTTAATTTCAATCCGATCTTAACATAATTAGCCTTCAATTAAAGCCAATTAAATTCTCTACAAATCTGCTTTGAATGATTTCAATGCAGCTGCAGTAGTTTTGCAGCTACAAAGTCTTTTGACTATGATTTTTCTCAAAATGACACATTTTGCCTCACAACTTTGTAAATTTCAATCTGATCTTAACGTAGTTAAGCTATAATTAAAGTCAATCAAATCCTCTACAAATCACTAAAGAATATGGTTTTGATGCAGCATCAATAGTTTCGCATCTGTGAAGCTTCAAAGTCTTATTTTGACTTTGATTTTTATCAATTTAAACAAATATTTTATTAAATTTTTTTTTTCAAATTTCAATCCTTCCGTTATCCACTTGCAAAATTTCAATCTAATCTCTCGAAAATTTTCCACAAAAAAAAAATTAAACACCTTTCAGTAATTTCGCAGTTGCGAAGCTTGAAATTCTCAAGACTTTGATTTTTATTAAGTAAATGGACAGAAGGAGGTTTTCATATTTTATTTTCCTAAATTTCAATCGTTTCTGTTACCATGTAAGCTACTTTCTTTAAGTGCACAAATATTTATAATAAGACTCGATATCATTTAAACAAATTATATTAGTTACAAAGAAATTCGATATCGCTATTTCCAAATCGACTGATCATCACCAGTAGAACATCAAGACTGACTCATCCTTTTCTTGCTGATATTACCCAACCCTATTCGCTTCGTCATCCGGCGTTTTTTTTTTAAGTAGGTGCAAGTAAATATTCTTTACAGCCGGCCTAATAACCTGACATCTTCACGTCCTCGGGAAGGAAACAAAAATCGCTTTCAGTTGGCCAATGTTTCCAAAATCTCGCCTCGAGACTCTCTTCGATTCCTTCGTGACACCTTTGACCTGTAACAACACAAAATTAATAAATCTATTCATTCAAAGTTACCCAGCGAGACTTTTTCTTCGCTGAGCGTTTTCTGATAAACTTCAGCCTAAATGATCCTCCCTCTTATCTTTGAGATTGGCACCACACCATATATGACTTTTGACTGCGCGATGGTTCATCACTACTTGTCAAATCTCCCATAAGGGATCCGAGGCTTTACCAAAGAAACTTTATTCCTTCAGTGCTATATACCAACATTTTTGGTAGACTTTTCTTGACACGTTTTGTCTTCGAGCGACTTTTCGCTCGTCGCTTCAGCAGCGTCCTGCTGACTGTCTTTATACATTTCTAGAAATTTTTCTCTATCGTCGAAGCAACTCCTTGCTCCCGAGTAACTTTTCACTCATCTCATCCATGGCACGTACGTTGCAATGGAAAATTAAACGTTTACAAACTTTTTATCACATAGAGGTAACGTTTTTTTTTTTCTGACATCTCGCCAGCGCTTCCTGCGGACTATCAAGTTTCCTTGTTGAACCATCTTCGGAATCCGCCGATGAGTCAGATGAAAAGGCAACCGCCTTAAACAGTTTCATCTTATCTGAGGAACATATACCAGAGTAACTGGCTCATATGGATAAAACAGGAGCAAATGCTTCTATTTAAGTTTTTTGATATAAACATATTCAGCTTTAATGCAGCAAAAAGAGATAGAGGTAGAGTAAAAGCATTTGCTAAATTTTATCCATATGACTGACTATTTCGCGACCTTTTCGCGCTGGCATGTCCTCAATCACGTAACGAACGTTATCTAACATCTTTTTAGGGCCCTTTCTACTTTTACCATCATTTGAGCACTTTTCTCGCTGGACAACAATTTCCTGTTCAACCTTATAGGTACTTTATTTAGGCTTAGCATGCCTTGCATCATAGTACAACTTTTGTACTTCCTGTTGATGCTCTATGTTTTCGGCTACTTTAGCTCGCACTTCCTTAAGTCATGAAGCTCATTTTCACATAGCTCATGAACTACACCACCTCCAACAGTACTCCAGAAACCCGCAATCGCACCCTAAAAGTCGGCTAAAACAGTCATCCGCACTTAAGAAATTTATTCCATTATTCATATGGGGATTTCTCAAATACAAATGACTACTCCAAAATACAACTGAAGGTCTCCAAAACACTGCCGAAAAAGGCGTAGAAAGGAGTCATTTATTTCTCTAGGTCTTATAACCCAAAAGAACCTCGTAGGGACTTTTCCCCGTTTGTGGAGCGAACGATGGTGTTGATACCCCATTACACTAGACTGATACTTTCATTCCAGCGATCTTCATCTTCCACGGAATTATTCATGGTAGCAAGAATAACTCTGTTCATTCTTTCTAACTGCTCATTGGCCCGTGGAGTTGCAGTGGCACATAATACTCTTTTTGATTTCCAAGTCATCACACAATCTAGAAAACTCCTTGCTGGTAAATGCGGTTCCACGATCACAAATGATACGCCTAGGTACTCCAAACATTTCTATTTCTAATAGAAATCATACGACGAAAGAAGTTTTTGTATTTGGAACTGCTTTCATCATGGTCATTTTCCTTCTTCCGGGTATCTTTCCTAAACAGGCTGATATGTAATTCTTAACTTATCTTGGCATACTTACTCGTAATCCAAAGCCAAGTGCCCTGCACAATTATGGTAGTACACATTAGAAATCGTCTTCTAAAGCTTTTTGGTACCACCTATTTCAAACCGTGGTCTGTTTTTCGTTACACTCGATTGTTTTCAAGAATAAAATGTTCGTGAGTCTCTCTCTCCTCCGCACTTTGCGGTAACTGACTCAACACAGCATGCAGCTGACGACTCTTTTCGTCTTCGAGCTGTGCAGCCAGAACCCAATCATCTTCGTTAATATTCACTGGAAGTACCTGTACTTCATCATAACCGTCGAGTTTTCATATGGACTTCGGCTTAGAGCATTCACGTGACTTCATCTTACATTCTGGTCTATACTGAATCTCAAAGTCGAATTCTTGTGTGTCTAACCATCAACGAGCAATCCTTGGAACTAGGTCTCTTAGTGCACTACAGTCTGTTATAACTTTAAAATGTTTTTCTATAAGATAGAGAAATTTTTTGAATCAAGAGTCACTCGAACTCTTACCAATATTAGACGTTCTAAAACTGCTTATTATCTGACTTTCTGATGTGATCAGTACCAGACTTTCTGATTTTATTCTTATATGACTTTTTGATATAGTCGTTTTCAGACTTTCTGATTAATCTGATTTATTGTTATCAGACTTTCTGGAACAATCGTTTTCAGACTTTTTGATATATCCTTATCAGACTTTCTGATTTATTGTTATCGGACTTTCGTCTTTCTGATTCATTGTAATCTGACTTTTTGATACAATCGTACCAGATTTTTTTGATTTATTGTTATCAGACTTTCTGATCATTTTTATCAGACTTTCTGATACAAATGTTTCAGATTTTCTGTTTCATTGTAGCTCAAAAAATATCAAAATTGTAGTAATATTTACTTAAATAAAATAAAACTTCTGCACTTTAGGGAGAGTTTTTTTAATATGCATATTATCATTAGTAATGTTTTAACTTGTTAAAAAAACAAAATTGCGAGATTTTAAAGTTGTGTTGAATATCATTGCAACAAACATGAATTTTGTGATATTCCATAAAAAATTGAAAATCTAAGTTAATTTTACAAATATGCTTGAATTTGAACAAAGTTATGTAAAATTGATTTGATTTTAATTAATTTTTGAAAGTATTCTCTAAAATAAGGGTATGTACTTTACAGTACAATTTTGATATTGTTTCAGCTATACCCTGTATGCTGTTTAACTTGCAACCATTCTAAGTGCACCTAATATGATTATCAGACATGCACCAACTTTTGGCCTTGTTAAGGTATATTTTGATTGTGCAATTAGCTATAACAAAAAAAAAATCCCCTATGTTGCACACTTAAGTAATGACACTGTAGATCCCGAAGTTTTTTTCCATTCTGACACACCAACATGTAAACCAGGCCCTGCGATCTCTCATTGCCAGTTATAAACCACATAATAACTCTTTTCCGTTTTTCTAGATGTCGCTGACAACCACAGAATTGTCCAAATTGGAAAATACCAGAGGCACATCAAAAACACGTCCGATGTCGATAACTGACATGTCAACATATGACAATATGCCAAAATATTCATTTGATCATAACTAATAATTCATGTTTTTTGTTCGCCGGTCTTGCATTTCATCTTTCTTTGTGTTGTCAAGTGTACTTAAGTGATTTCAAAGTTGTTTTGTGTGTTTCAAGAAGATCTTCAAACTTTATAGATTGGAAGATCTATTTTTATCTTTGTTGATTAGATAAATGACAGGTTCGATTAAACATCAATCAGAACTTTGAATAAATACATATGTTAAGGATACTCTTAACCATCGATAAAGAAACTGTCTTTTGATCTAATTAACAAATTATCAATTAATTTAAGCAAACATTAATGCCCCAAAGTCCAGAATAAACGAATTTGAACAGACCGACAGTAATGCGAACAGGGCGCCATCTATCATAAAAAGTCCTTTGTAAAGTAGGTGTCTGTAGTGTAGCAAAACGCCCCAAGTACTTTATGTAAATAGTTAGATGGTGAATGGCGAGCGGTCTATTGATGGTGTTTATATATACTTGAAGCTTGCTATCTAAAATCTGTGAAAGAGGGTCTATTTGCAAGAGAGAGAAACCAACTAATGAGGTGTACTAAATTATATTTTATTTCACATAAAACCCAAAAAATCAGCCAAATATCTTCCAATACTTTACATCCTTCTTTTATTTCTATAAAGGCAATACTTCACATCCGTTCTATATTGTTATTTTACGGACCACTGAAATATCCCTACTAAATACGAAACGCCCTATTCATACTATTTCTCAAAATTATAATTCAACTCATTTTACTACATCCGAATCATTCCTAATAACTATCCTTTACCTAGTCAAATAATTCCTTAAAATCTCTAAGTCCTTTACTTATGAAAA